CATTTGGAGCCCTCGATCCTCCTTCAGACTGGCATGCCTCAATGTTCGCACATTGCTTCAGATCGGTCAACAGGCAGCACTTGCCCGCACACTAGAGACCCTATCGATTGATATCTGCTGCTTATCGGAGACCCGCCTGCAAGACTCGAGCTCTGTACTCACTCTGCGATCCCCTTCTAGTGACACTAGCAGCACTTTCTCATTGCGCCTATCCGGTGACGATGCAGCTTCGAGCACCGGCCAAGCCGGTGTTAGTATTGCCCTGAGTCCCAGGGCTGAAGCTGCTCTGCTTGATTGGATTCCAATCAGTAGCCGGATGTGTGCGGTCCGATTGGCTAGCTCGTTCAAAACTTCGAAGTCGCGTGGGACTAACAGGTGTCTATTCGTTATCGCTGCCTATGCACCGACAAACTGTAGCGATGACTCGGTAAAAGACGACTTCTATCGCCAACTGAACGAACTCCTTCGCCACAAAAGAAGCTCGGACACTGTAGTGCTGGCTGGGGATCTGAAAGCTCAAGTTGGAAAATTATCCACAGATGAGCTGCATCTAGGCGGCCAACATGGTATGGGCTCCCGTAATGATAACGGTGCGCGGTTACTTCATTTGTGTGAGGATGCTCGCTTGTTTCTTGCGAGCACTTATTTCCGACACAGCACCAGCCGGAGGGTGACTTGGCGCCCACCAGCCTCGAACCAGCGATGGACGCAAATCGATCACATTGCAATTAGTTACCGCTGGAGAGGCTGCGTCCAGAACTGTCGCTCGATTTGGAGCACAGGTGTTGACACCGATCATGCACTTGTATGTGCTGACCTGCAGATGCGCTTTGGTGGACGCCCGCGACAATGTTGTGAGCGCATTGACACCGGCAGACTGGTGAATCCAGCTGTTCTGAACGCCTATCAAATTACGCTGTCATCCGATTTAGATAAACGCTCACTGGATGCAGTTGAAGCTCACTGGTCTCATATGCAACAGGCCTTACTAGCAGCAGGCAAATCCTCATGTGGTATGTCTAATCACCAACATGAACATTGGGTCTCTACACAGTCTCTGGAACTTATAGATGCTCGCCGGCATATTCCGGCTGGAAGCGAACACAATGAAACTCGCAAATAGCTCCGGGCAAAACTCCGTGCTAGCCTGAAGAGAGACCGCGAATCCTGGTGGTCTCGTCGTGCATCAGAGACGGAAATGGCCGCTGCCCTTGGTAACCATCGTGAGTTATTCCGTCTTATACGGGAAACGGGCAGCAGGAGACCTGGTGTTAGTGAACCTATACGTGACGACAGTGGACAGCCTATCCACAACTTATCAAAACGCCTGGAACGTTGGGCTAAGCACTTTGAAAGGCAATTTAATCGGTCGGAATTGTTAGATTTCTCGCCGACCAGTGATCGCCTTGCTCCCTGGGCTGTCCTTTTGGATCCACCCTCTCGCTCAGAAGTCGAACATGAGATCAAACTGTTGAAGTTAAATAAATCCGCGGGACCTGATGACCTTCCTCCAGCCCTCTTCAAATTCGGGGGACCTGCTCTTGTGGATGATTTACACGAGTTACTAGTGAAACTGTGGGAGCAGGAAACTGTCCCAACCGATCGGAGCCGATCCATCCTAGTCCCAATTTTCAAAGGAGGCTCACGATCGGAATGCGGCAGCCATAGAGGAATCAGTCTGATCTCCATCACCTCCAAATTGCTTGCCTCTGTCATCCTTCACAGACTGACTGGCACTCGTGAAAGCCAGATTCGTGAAGAGCAAGCTGGATTTCGTCGAGGTCGTGGCTGCTTTGACCACATCTTCACCTTGCGTCAGTTGTTGGTGCACCGTCACACATATTGGCGGCACACCGTTGTCGTGTTCCTCGATATCAAAGGTGCATTCGATTCGGTGGATAGACATGCACTTTGGGACTGTCTACTCAGGAAAGGTGTACCTGAGAAATACGTGAATATTATCCGAGCATTATATGCGCGTAGCTCGGGCAGAGTGAGGGCTTACGGCAAGTTGTCGTCGCCCTTTAATATTTCCAGCGGCGTGAGACAAGGATGCTCGCTGTCACCTTTCCTCTTCAACTTCGCTGTTGACGAAGTCATGGAAATCGCGTTCACAGGACAAAAATTAGAAGGTGTGAATCTGCTCCCAGGAGAACGACCTCCTGACTTAGAGTATGCTGATGATATTGCCCTAATCTGTGACAGCTCACAAACGTGTCAAGCGGCACTGGACAGATTAGCACTAGCTGTACTTCACTTCGGGCTTTGCTTCGCACCCTCGAAGTGCAAAGAGTTTCTCCAAGATTGGTCTGGACCGCCTCCTATGCTGACCCTTGGTGGGGATCAGCTAGAAGTCGTTCAAAAATTCAACCAATGGGAAGTTGTATCAGCGCCCGTGGGATTGAAGATTTGATCACGAATCGTGTAGCAAAAGCTCGGGGCGCTTTTGCTAACCTTCGCCACTTATGGCGCCGGGGCGACATCACTCTTGCCCTGAAGGGTAGAGTGTACAATGCAGCAGTACGTTCGACCTTACTGTACGGTTGTGAAACCTGGCCGCTTAGAGCAGCGGACCTGAAGAGGCTAGTTACGTTCGACCACCGGTGCCTTCGTAATTTAGCTCACATTTGGTGGGTACACCGCGTGAGCAACGAGCGTGTTCGACGCCTTGTTTATGGTACAGGAAAAGGAAATGAACCGCTCAGCACCGTTATTTCACGCATCAGTCTCCGATGGCTCGGCCACGTGTTACGCATGCCAGCCCACCGACTTCCGCGACGTGTGTTGTTTGCGCGCCGGGGGTGTGTATGGAAGAAGAGGAGGGGTGGCCAAACGATGACTTGGTCCAGAGGAATGAAGACCCTCACTTCTGAGCTGGCCTCGGTTGGAGCGTCTCGGCTCCCTGGTTGGGGTCCGAAAGATGATGAACACGTTTGGTTAGACACACTTGCTGATATGGCAAGGAGCCGGCCTCAATGGCGTTCGTGCTCTGAGTTTCTTTGTCCCACCCCATCCCTCTTAGCCTCCCCCTCCAACCACGAGCTCATTACCTAGCCTTATATAATTTTGCATAATAATTATTTTTGGGTGCACAGCAGCCGGCTGGTAGCTTACCGGAACGATGCCCATCCGTTACCGGTAGCTCAGTCAGCTTTCACCAGTTGTTTTTTTTCTGTCTCCTTTTTTTCTTTGTATTGCGGCACAGTAGCTGAGGTGTTCCCCACCTCTAGCTAACGTGTATGATGATGATGATGACTCAGTGCAGTAGCGCTACTTTAAGCATTTTTCTTCTCCAGTCTCAGCTTGATGTATGTCTGGCGGTTAAGTCACTTCAGACAGCAACGTTCTGAATTTAAGTGGCTATTCTGCGCCTGTGGAGTACTATATCTGAAGAACGTTCGTTCGTTCGTCCTGTGTAAGAGTGGAAAGAGCTAGGATGCGTTATAACGCCTTCTAAACATTTAGCTCAACTGTTTTCAAATTAGCGAGCATTTTTATCAATTTATATTACACACGTGGATAACCGCTTTCAATGTTGAGTGAACCCTTCATCAACCAGTTTCTTGACCTTCTGGCAGTCGCAGAATATAATAAACGGAACCCTATTTGTTGCATCGAGCAGGGTGGATAGGGGTATGGATGCTACTGCTCAGGCCATCCCGTCTTCTTATCCCCCTTTTTGCGTTTCTTCATACTTATCGTACCGTTCCAACTTTACTTTTGTCCCCCCATTTTCAATCCCCCAATTCTTGGCCCTCCCCCAACTTGCTTCAATACTCGCTTGTCCTCTAGTTTCAAATCACACACAGCCGCAGGGCGTCGTTCCAATCCAGTCAACAAGTCCATGTTCAGCCAAGCGGACAACGTCAGCTCGTCCGTTTCCCTTTGGGGTCCTCGTATCTCGCTAAGACTGGCATGTCTGAACGTGCGCAATTTGCTACAGATTGGCCAACAGGCATCAGTTGCCCGCACATTAGAGACCCTACCGATCGATATTTGCTGTTTACCGGAAACCCGCCTGCAAGATTCGAGCTGCGTGCATACTCGCAATTAACCACGTGCGAGACTGGCCGCACATTCTCTTTACGCCCGTCTGGCGATTATGCAGCTTCAAATGCCGGTCAAGCAGGCGTCGGCATTGATTTGAGTGTCCGGGCTGAAGTTGCCTTGATCGATTGGATCCCAGTAAACAGCAGGATGTGCGCCGTTAGATTAGCTGGTTCGTTCCGTGCTACGAAGTCGCGCGGGAACAAACGGTGCCTCTTTGTCATTGCGGTCTAAGCCCCTACAAACTGTAGCACTGATTCGGTAAAAGATGATTGCTATCAGCAACTTCACGAGCTCCTTCGTTACAGAAAAAGCCCGAATGCTGTGGTGTTGGTTGGCGATCTAAACGCCCATGTGGGAAAATTGTTCTCTGATGAGCTTCATCTGAGCAGCCACCATGGTGTAGGCTCCCGTAATGATAACGGTGAACGCTTGCTACAGCTGTGTGAAGATGCTCGCCTCTTTCTCGCGAACACTAACTTTCGGCACAGCACCCGCAGAAGCGTGACTTGGAGGCCACAAGCCTCGGGCCAACCATGGACGCAAATCGATCATATCGCGATCAATTACCGCTGGAGAGGCTGTGTCCAAAACTGTGGAGCACGAGCGTGGACTTTGACCACGCACTTGTCTGCGCCGACCTCCTGGTGCGTTTCGGTGGACGTCCGCAACGTCGCTTTAATTGCATTGACACCAGCCAGCTGGCGAACCTAGGTGTCCAGAATGTGTATCAAAGGGCGTTGACATCTGGGCTGAGTAAGCGTCCACTAAATACCGTCGAAGATCACTGGTTGCATATTCGTCAAACGTTACTGTTAGCAGGCATGTCTTCATGTGGAAACGCAAATTGCCAAATCGGACATTGGGTCTCTGCACAGTCTCTGGAACTTATGGATGCTCGCCGACGTATTCCGGTTGGAAGCGAATACAATTAGGCTCGCAAAAAACCTATACGGTTCTCTGCCGTGTATAGTAGTGCATGCCTTTGTCATGTCTGGCTTTGCGTGCCACGGCAACAGTGATTGCGACCCTCTCACTTGGGCGGTCAACCAGCTTCAGATTGAGTCACATCCGATGCAGCCTCAAGCGTTGTATGATGCAGGAATGGTTTCTCTAGACAGTTTAGATACATATAGTGTATCAGTCACACCTTATGGAGAGCTTATCACATGTCTGATCTGCAAAGTGACCTGCTGTGGGCGTATTCCATACTCACAACATTTGCAAGGCGCACTGCACCGTAAGCGATCTAATCACCAAGAACCTACTTCCTGCTCCATATGCGACAAACATTTCTGCTCATCAGACGAATTGAATTTACATTTATCTGGTATAAAACACCGTAAAAAGGCTTTACTTGCCTCTTCAACTGCCACTGTAAATGAGACGGCTAGCGGTACCTTCAAGTGCATTCCGTGTAACTTAGAATGTTCATCACAACTTCAACTGTCGGATCATCTGAAGGGACGAAAACACCTAAAGTGCATCAAGTTTAAATCGGCCGATTGGAACTGTGATGTACTATTGCCCTCCGCTCTGACGAATACGCATTCGACGTCAGAAGATTGTACAGCGTCAGTAGGTCAGAAGGGACGGCCTTTTGCGACGAACACTTCTAAATCACTCTGCAGCAAAAGCGAATATCTGTTTGAACGCCTGATAGCCCTTGAGTCGGCTATCCAAAACAGCTCTTCCCACTCTCTTCCTTCACTTCAACACTTTTACAAAGAATCGGATAATTTGTCGAACGAATTGTGCACATTATCATCTGGAATCGCACGAAGCCCTCCTTGGACCATCCCCACAAATACTAGTACACAACGTGACGTCCCATTTTGTAAACATCGGACGTGTATCGTTCACCGCGCGCTTCTGAGCTATGAACTGACGGCAAAGGTACCAGATTCCACAAAATCCGAAAAGTAGAGTTTGCATAATGGGGTTTTACCTTCCCTTCTTCCTTGCATTTATGCACGGCGTTTATTTCACGTTCCTTTGTTGTACCTCTCCCAAGTTCACTTGTATACAGTTAAAAATCAATGTTTATTTGTTCACTGCCAATTTTTATTAAAGTCGCAGTATTTCATTCATAGTTAATCTTTTGTTCACCACATTATGGGCGCGACCAGCTCACCCAGGGGGGATATCCTCGGATTATGCTCCGTAACATATCTGGAGACAATCATTATTTGAGACTTAGACGGACGTGTGACTTCATTTCTTCCTGTCATATTCGGTTGCACGGCTGTTATTTTCCAAACTGACCATCTTAGTCAGCGCTCCGAGCGATTACGCGGCAGCTGAAATTGCTAACTTGCATGTGATCGAATACACAACAGAGTGCAGCCGAGAAGCCAATATTGATCCTGAATTCAATGTACTTCTTTCGCCTGTTGACCCCTCCACCTATTGCTCACAGAATTTTCGTTCTTTTGTCTTTTCCACATCTGTGTTTTCTCCCTGCTCCCTCCTCGTTTCATTTTATTGTGTCAATTCGTTTTGAACTAACTGGGTCGATTTCTCTTTCTAGCCTCTATATGATTGTAATGGTCTGACGATGAATCATTGAAAGCATTTGCTCACCAGAGACTTAAATGGGAATTTTCAAGTTACTTAATCAAAACTATGTGCTAGCCTGAAGAAAGACCGCGAAATCTGGTGGTCTCATCGTGCCTCTGAAATGGAAACAGCCGCTATCGTTGGTATTCATTGTAGCTTATTCCATCTGATACGGGAAACAGGCAGCAGAAGACCTGGTGTTAGCGCGACCATACGCGACTAGAGTGAGCACCCGATCCACAGCCTGTCAAATCGCTTGGAGCCTTGGACTGAACACTTTGCAAGACAATTTAACCAAGCTGAGTTATCGGTTTCTTTTTCGGGCATTGAGCGCCCTTCTCATTGGGCCGTCTCCTTGGATCCACCCTCACGCGCAGAAGTCGAACTTGCGATCAGGCAGTTGAAATTGCATAAGACCGCTGGTGCAGATAGAATTCCCCCAGCCCACTTCAAAAACGGGGGACCTGCTCTAGTAGATGATTTACACGAGTTGCTAGTGAAACTTTGGTAGCAGGAGACTGTCCCGACAGACTGGAACCGCTCCATCATTGTCCCAAGTTTCAAGGGAAATTCCCGTTTGAAATGCGGCAATCATAGAGGGATCAGTCTGATTTCAACTGCCTTTAAATAGCTTGCGTCTGTCATTTTCCACAGACTGAGTGGCCTTCGTGAAAACCATATTCTTGAAGAGCAAGCCAGATTTCGTCGAGGTCGGGGCTGCATCGCTAACACATCTTGACCTTGCGTCAATTGTTGGAGCACCGCCATGTTTATTGGCGACCCACCGTTGTCGTGTTTCTTGTTAGAAAAGGTGCCTTCGATTCACTGGACTGATGTGCCCTTTGGGACTGTCTGCTGAGAAAAGGAGTCCCCGATGAATACGTAAACATAATCATAGCGCTGTACGCGCATCGTTCGGGAAGAGTGAGGGTCTATCGCAAACTGTCGCCACCCTTCCATATCTCCAGTGGTGTGAGACAAGGTTGCCCGCTGTCACCTTTCCACCTTAAGTTCGTTATTGATGAAGTCATGGAAACAGCGTTCGCTGGACACGACCTAGAAAGTGTAGAGCTACTTCCTGGTGAGCGACTTCTTGACAGAGTATGCGGACTTTATTGCCCTAATTTGTGACAGCTCCCAATCATGCCAAGCAACACTGGACCGACTAGCACTGGCTGCCAATCGTTTTGGGCTATACTTTTCCCCATCGAAATGCAAAGTACTTCTCCAAGATTGGCAGGGACTCAACCATGCGCTAACGCTTTATGGTGATCTGCTAGAAGTTGTTCAGGAATTCAAGTACCTGCGCAGCTATATTAGCACCCGTGGGATTAAAGATGAGGTTACGAACCGCATAGCAAAATCTCGAGGTGCTTTTACCAATCTCCGCCACCTGTGGCGCAGACGTGACATTACTCTCGTCCTGAACGGTAGAGTTTATAACGGAGCCGTCCGTTCAACTTTCTTAGATGGTTGTGGAACCTGGCCTATCAGGTCCACGGAAATAAAGAGGCTCGTCATATTCTATCATCGCTGCCTTCGCAGCTTAGCTCATGTCTGGTGGGAGCACCGAGTGAGCAATGAGCGTGTTCAACGTCGCGTATTTGGTGCAGGAAAAGCGTGTGAACCGCTCAGCACCATTATATCACGCACCAGGCTCCGATGGTTGGGCGACGTGTTGCGCATGCCAGCACACCGACTTCCGCGACGTGCATTGTTTGCGGGTTGTGGGTGCGGTTGGTAGAGGAGGAGGGGAGGCCAAGCGATGACTTGGTAGAGATGAAAACCCTCACTTCGAAGTTGGCGTCGGTTGGTTCATCCCGATTGCCTGGCTGGGGTCCTAAGGAAGGTGAACACGTTTGGTTGGACACTCTTGCTGATATGACTTGGAGCCGGTCCCAATGGCGTTTGTGTTGTGAGTTCCTTTGTCAGTCCCCCTCCTGCTTAGCATCCCCCTCCAATCACGATCTCACTCGTTAGGCATAATATTACTCTCTTTTTATGGCATGACAGCCAGCTGTTAGCTCTCCGGAACGACGTCCATCCGTTACTGGGAACTCAACCGGCGTGCCACTAATTGTTTTCCTTTTATTGTCCTTTGTATTGCGGCACAATAGCTGAGGTGTTTTCCACTTGCAGCTAACGTGTATAATGATGATGATATATGTCTAACACAATGTGAACATAAGGAATCTTCTTCTAATACTCACAATAATCGAATTCCTATCCAACACGCCTTGGGTGCCATGTTTGGCAATAGCATATGTACGTTCTTAGTTTGGTAGTAGACAAGCCCGTGCCGGTTACTTGAACTATCCGGAATTTGCTTTGTTGTTTGTCTCCTCTGTCCTCCATTTTACCTGTAATCATTGTTTGCCACAACTTTCCTGTAATGCATGTGGGTCCAGTGAGCATTGCCATTTTCCGAGTTCCATTTGGTTTCTTCCTTGGCGTTTTTCAAGAACTTTTCTTCAGTCAGCTTATCTATCCACGGTATTCTCAAAGTATCCTCAGAAACCACCTTTTGATTGCCACTAACATTCTTTCTACAATTTTACATTTTAACATTGTAGCTATCAACAGATGTTACAAGTAGGCTTAACATATGTTGTATCTTCTAAGCTCACGGTCAAGCAAGAATACATCTTTGCCACCAAGCATTCATAGTGCATGCGTGTTTCGCCTTGTCGAATGATATTTTTCAGTACCCATGACATAATTGCGTGGGAAAAATAAAACAATAGTGGTATGGATATATATATATATATATTACTCATTTCAGAAATGAGCTCCTCAGCAAAGAAGCAGTGTCCGCAGTACTCATTGGAATACCTGTCAATTGGATTTATCGCATTACCTCTGAACCCCACTCTCTCAGCCTATGTGTTTAATTGGCCAAGACACTCTTTCAAATGAAATTATACAACCAAGTAAACTGAAAAATCATTTGGAAAGTGTTCGTAAGGATGAAACCGGAGTGTCTGGATTTTTTCAGGAAGCTGAGGGATAGATTCGAAAACAGACCAACTGTAATGACAATGGTCTGACAGGGCAAAAAATGGCGAAAGGATTTACGGCGTCTCATAAAAACAGCGGTTATATCCAAAATTTGCAGTTCACATAAATTTTGAGCAAATATTATCTTGCCTTCAGTATCAATAATATTGTCCAACCTGATGAAAGCGAATCCACAAAAAGCAGGTCATACCATTCTGCTCAGCAAGCCGACTGTAGCGAGGTGAATAGATGAGATGACTCAGGACGTAGCAAGTATTTTGGTTGCTTCATTACAGTCCAGAAAATTGTTACAAGTAGATGTATTTCCTTTATCTGATAACAATGCTCTTTTCGTGGCAGTTGTTCGACACTTCAATGCTAATGAATTAGTGAATGTGATGCTGGTTGCCAGGAGAATTAAATCTCATACGAATCACCGGGCTATATTTGAGGTAGACAATATCTATCTGACTGGAAACTCCATCCCAATGCAGAACTTATTTGCATGTGCAACAGATGTTTCTGCCACAATGGTCGGAAGAAATAAAGGATTTCTTGTCATGCTAAAAGATGTTCTCCCTTCTGCTCATACAATTAACTGTGTGATTCATCGCGAATATCTAATGGCCAAGAACGTGAGAGGGAGCGTTTAAACGATTCACTGTCAGCTGTTAAAAATGGTCAACAATTTCAAATTGTACCTCCTTCAAGATCGTTTTTCCCACCAGATGTGTGAGGAGAACAGCCAAGATTTGCAGTTTCATACGGAGGTTAGAGGGCTCTCAAAGGGCAACTGTCCGTCATTATGTTACACTCTGGGACACCATAAACACAGTCCCTTCTGGAATGGGTCATAAAAGAAAACTGTGAAATCTATGCCAGACTAGTTTTAACTAGCTGATGCTTTTGAAAGCTCCTTAGTAAATAAAACTCTTCAAGGCAAGTTGAGTACGCTCATCTAGAACAAAGAATCAATTATCGCCTTTCTTAAAGAGATAGATGTGTATGGTTAAGACATGGGACGTATGGAATTTTCACAGTAGTCAGTTTTCACTAGTGACGGAGTAACTGAAGGATAAAGACTTGCTTGTTTGTGCCAG